TTCTTCTTCTTCTTCTTCTTCTTCTTCTTCTTCTTCTTCTTCTTCTTCTTCTTCTTCCTAAGACTTTATGCCCACTGTTCTTGTTGCTATTGTTTTGTCCCATCACATGTTGAAAAATTTAGTAAGGATTAAAAAGAATGGACAGTATACAACTTCTCTCTCTCTCTTTTTTCCCCCAGTTTGTCATGTTTAGTGTTTTTATTCCAACTGAATAATAGGGGGAAAAAACTTAATTGTAAGAGCAGTTTGACAGTGGACTGAATGACCCTGAGATGTGATGGATCCCTTCACTGGATGTGTCTCAGAGTATCTGAAAATTATGTGCAGATGCCAACGTGTTGGGCTCCTCCACACCAGGAGAAAAGGTGATATCTCCAAATTAACACACTCAGAACAGATCTATCAGCTGGAAAACATTCCTAAAATGGCAGTGAAAATAATTATGATGCTAGACTCTCTCCTCTAGAAGTCAAGGCTAGGAGGAGAGAGTTTTTTAGCTTCAATTAAAGCATGGTAATAAATGTATATAGCCAGTTCATTTCTGAGGTAGTTGGGCTCTCTGAGAGTTCAAAAATGCCCAGCCCACTTCCAAATGTTCATCCCCTCAACCATAATAATAACAAATTATAAAAAAAAACCTGTGCAAGAACCAGTTCAAATATTCTGAAATAAAAAGTTATACCTAAATATCTGAATTTGTACTTTTCTTGGAACTTGTGGCCCAAGCTATACAGGTGCCCACCTTTCTCCTTCTGATTGGCCTAGTAGAAGATCATACTAGGATGTTCTAGTCTTCTGATTCTTACATGGTAGATGTAACAACCTGCAGCTCTCGAAACTTTTGCACTGTCTTCAAGGGCAGACCCATAGACAGCCCGTTACAGAAATCCAGCTTGGAGGTGACTACAGCATGAACATCTGAAGCTAGATCTCATTCCTTCAGGGAAGGCAGTTGCCTGGTGGAACGTTTGACTCTTCTCCCATCTGAGCATCTAGAACCACTGCACGTTTGAGGAGCAATCCTAAACTATAACCCTGTCATTTCCAAGGGAACGCAGTACTAACCAAAAACAAGCTGGCATTCTTCCTGCCTGATTTTTCAGAATTCTCCACCACCAACACTTTGTCCGTGTCTGGATTAATCCTTAGTTAATCATCCGTTTGCTGCTTCTCTTGGATCAGGGTGTGGAAAGGAGAGTGGAGATATTCTTATGTTGTGATTGATTTCATTTCTGTTCCAGCAATCAACTTATCGTGGTTTCATTTTAGGGATATTTCTGAAGTTTAAAGTTTAGACATGTCCCTAAATTTTAGATAACATAACAATTGAGATGTGGATTAACAAGGCCTCTTCAAGTGCCACATTAGGAAAAAATCACAAAGTTAAAATAATGAGACATCAGAGGCAGGAGCAACAATTTTATCAAATCTGGATGGGTTTTATGGTTTACCTTAATAGCAGTAGACTATAATATGGTATACTTCACATATATGGTAAATTTGCACATGTATAGTACCTGTCTCTTTATTACATTTTAGTAGGGTTTTGTTTTTGTTTTTTGGTATTTTCTATATGTTTTTTTTTCTCTGTGCATCTTAGATTTATGTTAATGTAGTTACCTGATATTGTTTGTTAATCAATTGTTAACTATTTATTTATTTATTTAT